AGTATGTCTTTCTAGGTCGCCATTGTAACCAGAAATTCTTAGACTGTTTTAGGAGGTATTTGTATTGTAGGCAGTGCACGTCATTTCCCTACACTCTACATTTATTTATAGCACACAGAAATCAATGACACTAATTGCATTCACCATGCTGTCTACCCATTTCCATGTCTTTGTGTCATGAATTAATGCTGAATTAGAGAATAATACAGAAAATATGAATTCACAGGGGAAAGACCAAGAAACTCACATAAGAGGAATACTTTTAGAGTCAGAATTCATTAATGGATCCAAGAATTTTCTCATAAGAAATAAGTGGTACCAGACTCTACCAAATCTGATCACCAAAAAAAATTTAAACAAATAAAATAATAGTAATAAAATAACGATGGAAATATATAGCAATAAAAATTAATATTACATTTTAATTTATATTAAAGTTATACTTGTGTAACTACACATGTTAACACAATTACATGAAAACTAAGTGAAGTAGATGGTTTTCTGTCAAAATATGAAACCCTCAGAAAATGACATGCATGAATGTAATTGTAATAAGTCACACTAATTGAGGGGGGGATATTCCATAGACTCCCAGCAGAATGAGCAAACCTATCATGGAAGAAGTACAGCCAGAATGTTTCTTAGAAGCGAGCATGAACCGGACAGTGACAACATCAGTGGAAAAGGACATTTAAATCTCACCTTCTTTCATACTCACCCCTCTCCACTTAACCACATACTGTGGAGCTTCAGATAGCTTTTGGGATTTTTCATGTTTTTCCACTCGTAAATACAATTTGAAGCCCTTTTATACAAAGCAAAGGGGTAGGTTTCTTGCAAACTTTTAGGAAATTAACATTTTCTGTTACATGAAGAATTTGAGGAAATATAGACTGAATAATGAAAATGATCCCATGTATGCATCAAGGCAAACATTTTAATACACTAATTTAATAAAAAGAAAAAAGATCATGCATTAAACTCAGAAACAGCCTCTGATTCTGAGTTTTGCCAGTTTTCACAAAACACATCATCTCTCTGAAATGAAAGTCATGGAAAGCTGGCCTGTTTTCCTCTTTCCTCCTCCAAATCCAGAGAGTCACATGTGTGTAAGAGAGAGCTTTATATCAAAGAGTCATTGTGTGTTACAAAAACATCCCAGTCCAGTCCAGATCAAGTTCATAATCTGATAGTAGCCCATAAGCCAATACTAGTCCATAAATCTCTCTTCAGACTCACACAGCACATACAATGTCACAAAAGGCTGGAAGATCACAGGCCAGTGGGTGCAAAGTCTTGTGTGTCCAGGGCTCTCACAGGTCTGAGAGTAGCCCCATGGGGCTTGTCCACAGGATGGTGAAAGCAGAGACAGAGAGAAAGGCCAGCTTCCAGAAAGCCATTTATCTTGGTAGCCCTCCAATCAATCAGTGAACTGATTGACAAGCTAAAGTTCACCCAGGTGTTCCTACAGAACCTATCTTGGTGCACGTGTGCGTGCACACACACACAACCTAGCACAGTCCACCGCTTGCCAACTTGGAACTTGTACACATTTCATTTTTACTGTTGTTTTTATTGGGAAATTTAAAGCTCTTATCACAATCCATACATTCATCCATTGTGTCACGCACCTTTGTACATTTGTCGGCATCATTATTTTAAAAACATTTTCTTTCTACTTGAGCCCTTGATATCAGCTCCTCACATTTTCACCTCCCTCCCTCATGAACTCTTGATAATTTATAAATTATTGTTATTGTTTCATGTCTTACACTGACCGATGTCTCCCTTCACCCACTTTTCTGTTGCCCATCCCCCTGTGAGGGGGTTGTATATATATTATTTTGCTCAGTTCCTTCAGTCTACCCTCACCCCCATTCCCCTCCTGGTAACACTACTCTCATTATTGGCCCTGAAGAGTTTATCGGTCCTGGATTCCTTGTGTTTTCCATTCTTATCTGTACCAGTGTACACAATTCTTTAGTCATGTATAATTTTAAAAACTAGGACAATAGTAAAGTCATATTTGTGCCTAGCATGTTTAAACTAAAATCTAAGCAACTCAAAATGGGCCAGCTTCATTTAAACATAATATTGTATAAGTGAGCAAAACAAAATATTCAGTGTCTAATAATTGCCATTAAGTGAACATCTACACCATAATCCTATAATCCTATGAACATATTCCCCCTTCCATGAAAGTTTGTAGGCCAGCCACATAATTCCTTATCCTCCCATTTTGGGTATCCAAAGTCTATATTGCCCACTTAAATCAATCCAGTGCTCTGAGGAGACAAACATGTTTTTGATGTGAAGAATCTTTATTCTATTTAGATCCTTGGGAGTCCACATCCATAAGCAAAGCCAAATCAGGACAGGTCCTTCATGAAGTCAGCAGCAATGTGCACCCATTCACAGACTCAAAAATCTTATCTTCATCTGGTTGGGTTATGGCTCAACTCAATATGGCCTGCCTTGCTTGGTGTATAGGATAGGGCAGAATTATCCCTGTATTTTCCAAGACTGTAATCCTTTATGTAAGTAGTAAGCCTGGTCTTTCTCCCCTGGAACCATTGGTGGTTTTGAACTATCAACATGGTGGTTGCAGTCCAATGCAAAACCACTACACCACTAGGATGACTTGATCAAACAGGAAAGAACACAGGAAAACATTGAAGGAAGCAAGCCTGCACACTACAATTAAAGAAGATAATTCTTTCTTGGTTAAATTACCCATGCTCCTGCTAAAATGTGTGTGATACAAAAACCGAGGTAAAAGGTAAATAAATAATTGGCCTCAATTTAAATCATGAAAAGTATGCATCAGGGTAATACCTTGCCACCACAATTATTCCATTTGTTTGCTGACCAAACAAACTGAGAAACTGGACTATGAAGAGGAACACAACATCAGGATGGACAGAAGGCTCTTTAACAACTGTGATTTGCAGATGAAACAACCTTGCATGCTAAAAACCAAGAGAACCTGAAGCACTCACTGATGAAAATCACAAACTACAACCTTCGGTATAGATTACTACGGTGTGTGTGTGTATCACATTTGATGACTTTCCCCCTCAAACTAGGCCAATAGACAGCACTGTGATAAACAGAGAAAAGATTCCAGGTTTCAAGGTTTAATTTTACTTGGATCAATTATCAACACTCATAGAAGCAGCAGGGAAGAAATCTACAACTAACCTCATAGGTGAAAGGTGAAAAATGAACAGAGAAGAACAGAGAGAAATCCATGCATTCGAATTTTAGTGTTGGAAAATCATAAGAAATATACCATGGATGGCCAGGAGAACAAACAAATCTGTCTTAGGAAAAGTATACTCTGAATGCTCCCGAGAAGCTAAAATGGAGAGACATTGTCTCATGTACTTTGAACTTGTTAACAGGAAAGCCCAGTCCCTGGAGAAGGATACCAGGCCTGATAAAGTTAAAGGACAGTAAAAAAGAGGA